TGTTAGCTTGCAAGTGAGGTAAAATCTCTAACTCATCACATATCTTATTAGTATCATGGGAGAATTTCTCAAAACTTTAAGAAACTGAAATGTGTTATGCTATTTAACAAAGAAAAAAAACCTTGTTTCATTTGAAAAACTCTTGTAAAAATCTCTGATACAAATATCTGAACAAAATACAAAATAGAAGAACTACAGACCAATAGATATTCAGCATTAAATGGGTATAAATGGAATCCAGTAATGTATTGCAATTTTAATAAAGCCTAACCAATTAGGTGCACATAAGAATGCAATCTGATATGTGGGAACTCATACAATAATTACTTTAATTGACTAAATGAGAATAATCATATATTTATGCTATTACTCTGTAGTGGGGAGGGTGGAGGAATTTCAAAAGTGGCAGTCCCACTAGGAAATTAATGTTACCTGGAGAAGGCACAATATCCAAAGTGTGTTGATAGAGTATTATCACAATAATGTAAAAAAAATACCAATGTATAGAAAAACTGAAATGGATTATGGCCAAGTGATTTTAATAGATGCCTCTAGGTAGTTGGGGGACAAAAGCTAAAAATCATGATAGATTGCCAGTTCAAAAAATAAAAAGCCAGGACGCCTGGGTGGCTCAGTTACTTAAACCTTTGGCTTCAGGTCATGATCCCAGTGTTCTGGGATCGAGTCCCACATCAGGCTCCTTGCTCAGTGAAGAGTTTGCTTCTCCCTCTGCCTGACACTCCCCCTGCTTGTGCTTTCTCTTCCTAACAAATAAATGAATAAACAAATAAATAAAATCTTAAAAAACAAAACAAAAAACCCCCCCAAAAACAAAAAATAAAAGGCCTATTCAAGCTTCATATATAGTGCTTTAATGTAGTGTTAGTAGATATCTTGGGACATATCTGCAAGATGTAACACAATGCTGGAGAGAGATGCAAAAAGAAGAGAGGCTTCTTCCTTGTTTAATGGATCATGCTCTAATCAAACAACCAAAATATATTAAATTCATATTTGGGAATCCCTTATACCAATGCTACATATTTCCTTTACATTCTAGTGTTACTCCTTCCTGATTTCTGAGTATCTATGATCATTGCAGAAAACTTGGTGTCCCCCAGTATAAAACAAGGTCCATATACACAAAGGAATATTAGCCATCAGAAACGATGAATACCCAACTTCTGCATTGACATGGATGGGACTGGAGGAGATTATGCTGAGTGAAATAAGTCAAGCAGAGAAAGTCAATTATCATATGGTTTCACTTACTTGTGGAACATAAGCAATAGCATGGAGGACATTAGAAGGGAAAAATGAAGGGGAGGCAACCAGAGAGGGAGAAGAACCATCAAGAGACTATGGATTCGAGGAAACAAACTGAGGGTTTCAGAAGGGAGAGGGATGGGGAGATGGGTGAGCCTGGTGATGGGTATTAAGGAGGGCATGGATTTCTTAGCACACTGGGTATTATACACAATCGATGAATCATGGAACACCACATCAAAAACTAATGATGTATGGTGACTAACATAATACAACAAAAAAACTTTTTAAAGTAATTAAGTAATTAAATAAATAAATAAAACTAGCACTCTTTTGCTACCAGTCCTCAAATTAAAATGTTCATTCCTCAAAGAGCCATATAGTTCAACAAGTTGATTTAAAAAGGCAATATGAAAAAAAAGGCAATATGATGAACCTAATTAATATTATGACATGTGATTGATGTTTAATCCTGTTAGAATTGTTAAAAATATTATGCAAACCATGTTCTTAATTTTTAAAAAATTCATGTTATTTTAAAATCTTTTGGGGGGCAAGAAGATTGGCATTAAGGCAAATTATTCTTGCCTAGGAGGGTCACTGCTCAGCTCTTCTAAATGTTTCCAGGTTTTTCACACATTTATTTCCCACTATTAAGATCACAGAATATGTAATAGTTTTTATTTTATTTTAATCATGCCTAATGTATCAGGTCAGTGGGCCAGCGACACAATTTATTGTACGTAATTTGTGCGATGTTACTATATTCAAGTTTGTTTTTCGCATCTCCCATCTTTCTGCTGACTGCATCTTTAAAATTGATGCTAAGGTTTTGGTCGTTCAACACTGAGTGCCCTGAACTAGTTGCATGAATGAAGTGATGAGTGGACAATAGGAGAATAATTTTTTAAATTGTAATAATCTTTAAAATTAGTTCAGAGATTAAATTTGTTTCTGATTTTTACTATTGCTGTACCTGGCTGTCTAATGAGGCACTGAATCACTGCCTCTGTATTAGCTAAGAATTTTCCACATGAAAGGGTCAAGAAATGATTTAATAGCCAAATATGGCACTATTATAAGTATTTCCTAAGAGTGAAATATAAATATGAAGCCAAATAAAAACCAATAAACTCCACAAAGTATTGGGAGATTGTGTCTTTTAGAACTCAATTTGGAAATTGTTCTGTCTGCCAAAGATCCAATGTAATGCCATTACACCTTTCTCATATCATACCCTAAATTATAGGAAGAAAGGCAAGGTTATAGAAAGAGCACTAGAGAAAGGCACTGACATAGAAAAGCAGTGGGACTTCTGAGGATGGCTAATAATAGATTAAAATTAAAACTAAAGATTAAAATACCTGAAACTCCAGTTTTGTTTGGATCTTTCCAATAATAAAAAAGGAAGAGCAGTAGCTATAGCTATAGTACTTTGATGAATATGCTATATTGAGATTTTAATCTTAATTGCATTTGGTAATTATAGGCAGTTAATAAAAACTCCATTTAATACTTAAAAAAAAAATCTTCCATTTAAAGATATCTGACATGAAACTACCTACCAAAAAGTTGATTTTAACTCCAGAACTATATTGCATGCTATCTGAAGTTTGTATATATTTTTTTCTTAAACCATTTTATTGGCTGTTTGTATTTCTAATTCTATGGCATGTTTTCTTACATCCCCAGTTAATTGTACTGTGGCTTTTATGGTCTTTTATTAAACAATTCCTTCAGATGATCCATAATTGTGATCAATTCTTTTACCCAGGGGGGACACCCCAGATTAGTAATATGACATCTGTAATGATGCCTAATGAAACTTGTTTCTTTATGGGAATGCTTCATATTACATACATATTTACAAATTTTTAAATAGTCTTATATGAAAAATTGTATTGTCTTTCCATTATTTAATGACAATAACTGATCATAATCATAAACAGTGTCACTAATGATGAGATAAATAAATTTCTAAACTATGCATGTTCAAACTCTATGCTTCTGTTTACATAGGGTAAATGCATAACAAAGAGCAATCCAAGAGCTGATAAGAGGCAATTTCATATAAATTAAAGGTTACTGGAGAAGTATTATTCAGATATTTAGCAGAATCCTTAATTGCTAGAAAGCAATAGACAATGTAATCATTTTCATCTAGAGAGAACAGATTGGATGGCAAATTTCTTGTGTATTATCAAGGAGAGAGGGGGAATGAGAAAGAGAAAGGGAGACGTTCAGATTTTGCATACAACATGAGTATTCAACTAAAGTATGGCACAGTACGGAAAGTATCTCTGAAATGCTTCTGCTTTCAGGCATTATCATGCAAGTGGACAGCAAAATTACCAAAAAGGCATATGTTTATCCATTTATTCATTCAGTCATTCAATGAGTATTCACTGAGTGCCTCTCTTGCGTCAGGCATAGTTCTGAGCTTTTAGGATACACAGAAGAATGTGACAGAAAATCTGTCCTCACTGACAATATATCAGTATTGCAAGATGCAGGCAGACAACAAACAAGTAAAAACAAATGAACAAAACAAGTTCAGATAGAGACTGGTACCAAGGACAAAACACAAAACCAGGTGATGTGACAAGCAGCTGGAGGTTAAGTACATTTCAAAATGGGACAGCAGAGACAAGATTTTGGATGAAAAAAATACAAATCTCCATTTTTGAAAGGCTAGTTATACAGGAATTTTTTCTTTGTCTCTCTCCTGCTGACCATATTTTGCCATTTCACTAATTATTATTGTTCCATTAAAGTGCTGAAATGCCAGTCAATAAATGATTATTGAGATCCCACTGTGTTCTCAGCACCAGTACAATTGGAAAATGTGGTTGAATTCAAACAGCTAATTCTACTGCTGTGATAAAATATGAGGTAGAGAATGATGCTTAAATCAGTAAATAACTTAAGCCTTCTCTTTTTGAGGTGTGCATTTGAGTCTAAGCCTCCCAGTCCATTCATATATCACAAATCTTGAGATTTCAGGAACTTCTCTAAGAGAAGGCATAATTTATTGCCACTAGATGGCACCAATTATTTCCATATTTTTAGGCCCCCTCCTCCCAAAATACCCCTTTTCTATGTAATGGCCATATGTAAAATGGAAGAATATTACTTAGCACTATTATTAATAAAATTATTGTTCCTCTATTAATACTTTTCTGTAGGAAGGATCACAGAAATAGTACTATAGATGGTATGTTCATTCACTGACATACTTGTTTAAGGTATGTATTTCCTCCATTTTTTTAAATGGATTAAACAATATCTTTGAAAATGTAAAAAGGAAGAAAAGTAATTGAGTATATGAATATATATAATAATGGTTATATAAATATTAGGATCAAAAATAGCTTATACATGTATACTATATTACATACATCTTTAAAAGTTTTTACAATTTTTTTAAAAAAAGATTTTATTTATTTATTTAACAGAGAGCAACAGCAAGAGAAGGAACACAAGCAGGGGGAGTGAGAGAGGGAGAAGCAGGTATTCCGCTGAGCAGGTAGCCCGATGCAGGGCTCGATCCCAGGACTCTGGGATCATGACCTGAGCTGAAGGCAGAGGCTCAACAACTGAGCCACCCAGGTGCCCAAAAGTTATTAGAATTTAAATCTTTGCTTCAAGATAAGAAATGAGTGCCTCAGACTACTTGCTAGTTTGACTATCACTGTATTTCTTTCATTCTAAGACAGTCCAAAAATAATACTCACTTTAATATCTGCCAGAGTTTTTTGCCTCATGGTAATTAGTGTTCGATATCTCTGCTCTTCCTCATAGAGTTTCTCTTCACAGATTTTTTTCTCACTTATGAGATGATCAAACACTGCTTGTGCATGCTCCTTTTTATATCTCATGGTTATAAATTCATTCCTATGAAGAAAGAATTGTATTCGCCATTAATCAATTCATATTTTATTTTTTAAGATACGTTTATGATACATTTTAGAAGAGTGAATATTAAAAAGTCTTAGAACTGAAGGGCTTTGGAAAAATTCCCTAGTTCTTTCCATAGGCCAACTTCCATAGAGATATGTCTAAATGATTCAGTTGTAAGAAAATCTCTGGAGAAATTTAGTGGATTCTCTTGGTTGCCTACACAGCATGCCTCTATTTCATTGCCATTCTAAAAGAACCCCTCCTCCATGCAGCATATAACACCAAAGATACATTCTAATTGGATTAAGCCAATTAGCATGAGGCTAATTATTTAGAAGTGAACATAAATATTACCATAGCTTAATAAGATGAAAGACAAGGACCTAAAGGCATGTAGAAAAGGCTCAACACCCACTAAATGTGAATGAGTCATGTTTTCAAACTTGATGACAATGGACACAGTGGAGAGAGAAAAAAATGAGTACCTAGGGTTGAGCTGTTGATTACTAATGTCAACTAATTCTGCAGCTTACCCTACCCAAGGCTCTCTGTTATATAAGATGACACATTTCCCTATTGTTTAATTTAAGCTGTTGTGTGAACATGTTTGTTTGTGCTTAGGTGGGTGTATTTTGTCATTTGTAACTAAGTATATACTGAGACAGATATTAAATGGTTTTTATTTAAATAACAACACTAATAGATAAAGCATGGGAAAAGTGGTTAAAGCAATAATGAAAATGAATGTGCTTTAGAAATAATTGCCAAAGTTGATCAGTAACACAGAGGGCAGAATAAACAGAGCTGCAAAAGTGCAGCACTTTTTTTTTTTTTTTAAGATTTTATTTATTTATTTGACAGACAGAGATCACGGGTAGACAGAGAGGCAGGCAGGGGGGCGGGAAGCAGGCTCCCTGCTGAGCAGAGAGCCCGACGTGGGGCTCGATCCCAGGACCCCGAGATCATGACCTGAGCCAAAGGCAGAGGGTTTAACCCACTGAGCCACCCAGGCGCCCCAAAAGTGCAGCACTGTCTTATGTTACCCTTATTTGTTTTTATGTCTGCTGGTATAGAAAACTGAGTAATCTGCACAGTTACCTAATAAGGCAGCGGGACTAAAGTTTTTTGGGGGAGCTGAAATGTTAAAGTGTGCTGAATAAAATATCTCATTTAATACAACAAAATCCTATGAAAGTATAATCATTATAGCAATTTACAGATGAGGAAACTAAACTTTACCATAATTAGCTTATATAAGCTACTTAATAAACAGCAGTACCAGAATGCAAATCCAGTTTTATCTTACTCTATTTGATTCAGCAGCTCAACACTAAATACTCATTTTTTTTCTCTCTTTCTCTACTATGGCTATTACCAAAAATTTGAAAACAATGTTTTTTGTTCACATTTTTAGATGTGAGACTCTCCTTCTGAATAGAATAAGGTCCCTCCCTTTTATCTGCTTTGTTCATGTCTGTTCCATTTCATCATTTATACCCAAAACATCCAAAATTCTTATGTGATATCCTATATAAATACTCTCTAATATCAATATTATGGAACAAAGAAAGAAACCATGAAATCTACATGGGGAAGAGCTAGTATGACCAGAGCCAAAAAACCTCACAGTTGCTCCCAGCAAACATCACTATATTTTGACCACATATACTTTGTTCTCCACACTAAGTATTTGAGTTTGGATTATATTCAAGACAGCATTTTCATTAGTTAATTACACCCACACATATATTATATAGACTATATATGCTTATATGTATACTGTGTGTGAAAATAGTGTTTCCTTTCTCATAATGATAAAAAGAATAAACTCTGAAGTCCTATGGGTCTGGCCCTAAATCCTTTCACATCCTACTGAAGAAACAGTTGTAAAAATCAGAGTCAAGGACAGCTTCAATTGCTATTATTCTAATCATCATATTTTAATCATTTTGCATATGCAAGTTTGTATTTCTAAAATTATCTTCAGATACTCAAAGGTACACTTCCCCATTTGTCATTTCTTTGTCCTTCTTCATGTCTGGCACTAGGCACACTGTAGGTTCTTAATAAATAATGATTAACTTGATATGGTCACCTATTGAAAATAACAGTAGATTATTACTAATGTAGTTTATTTGCAATAATCTTCTTTCCAATCCTAGTTTAGTGAGTCAGTATGGACAGTTTTAAGAGCACATGCTTTGGAATGAGATGGACCTAAACTGGAGCTGGCTTTAACCACTGATTATCTGTACAAAGACAATCATTTAATTTCCTGAGCTTCTGTTTCCTCAGTATTCATATGAGAATGTTATTACATAATTTGAGAATTTGCAGTGAGAACTGGATAAGATGAAGTACACAGATTGCCCACAAAGTGCCTGGCACATTAGGAAGTCAAAAAATGGTATCTTTAAATATTATTTGACATTATCCATCGTCATTGTTAATTAATAGATCTATAAACAATGTCACAGGATCAATTATTCATTTTATCCCTTTCCTGTGAGAAAGCAAAGTTTTGTCAAGTTCAGAGAGGGAACTGTGTCACTGGGACATGGTGGCCACTCTTGTCCCAAAGGCAATATAATCTAGCCACAGAATAGACAAAAATGTTATAACTGAAATAATAAGAATTCTTAAAAAACTAAATCTTAAACCAAACTCCTTATAAACTAAACTTAAACTAAATCTTTATAAGTCTAATGTGAACTATAAAATTTTAGACTTATATCACTGAGCCTCAAAATATTCTTACAGATGTCAAATAATGCAAATATCTTTGAAAATAACCATTTCCTTGCTTTCTTACATGATATACTGAATATGATTTTATGTCTTTCAGATAAAGCTGAATGCTCATTTTGTACATAAGTTTTTACCCCATAGTAACAGCTAAATAAATCCTTGTTGAGTGAACTGACTTGACTTGACATTATAGTATGATAATCAAGCTGTGGATAACTGTTTTTCTGACATTTTATCCCTCAAGTGCTATGATTTTGTTAATGCTGTGTTAGCCTTCTTATTTGAATCAAACTGTAATTCCTAAATGTGACCAATGCATGTCCTTCCTGTAGTCCTTCAAGCTCTGTTCTCAACGTATTACAAAACAGATAATAAGAACCAAAAGGAATAAAGGAAGAGTATGTAAGTTCTAAGTGAGGGTCTCAGGAAACACCAAAGGTCTTAGAGTATGATCGTTCTTTGAGTGAAAGACCTTACTAACCCTTGGTAGGTATGCCCCTGATTAATAAAGGGACCAAATAAGAGGTTTCCAAAGACAGTAAGTATGAACAAATTACATAAGGTTTTGTAGAATATCTGTTTATAAAGGATTACCTCAAAACTTACCAAAAAAGTTCGGGTGAAAAACCATATATTATTAACCATGTCCTGTGACTAATACTGAAATTTGTGGGAAAGATTATCAATTTCATAATTAATAGAAGTTCTCATACTTGGAAAACAATAAGCATTCCCAGTTATTCAAGTAAAAGTAAACCCAGGGGAATAATAAAAAAATGAATTCAATTTATGCTTATTTGTTTTTTGTTTTTTAATGTAAGCTCCACATCTAGGTAGAGCCCAATGTGGGGCTTAAAGTCACAAACCTGAGATCAAGACCTGAGCTCAAGAGTCTGATGTTTAATTGATTGAGCCACCCAGACACCCCCACAATTCATGTTTTTAAGCCAGAATTATCAAATATCACATGTATACTCCGCATCAAATAATGATAGAAAATAATGGACCATTTTAAGAATAAACCTTAAAGAAATTTGATCTTATCTCTTTTAAAGATAATATATTGAATACTTAATATTTTGATAAAATTTAAGTACTTACTTTAAACTCTCAAGTGTCTGAGCAAAAATACTACTTTCTTTCTCTTTTTCTTTTAAGTTCTTATTCAACTCATCTATTTTTGCAAGATAAGTAATCGTTTTACTTTTAGTGTTCTCTATTTCTCTAAAAATCATTGAGTGTTTTTCCTGGAAAATAAATTAAAGGATGTTTTATTTTAAATACTAGAATTTTCAAATCCTTGCAACTTAAGGACACAATTACATTTGGCTATATAAATAATTAAAAGCAAATAGAAACTTATTAACAGTGTAAGTAACAACTTAGGTATATGTTCTTTCTCTTCTCCATAGTTGTATCTGATAAGATTGTCTAAAAGATGGCTTAGGGGGGAGGAGTCAAGATGGCGGAGAAGTAGCAGGCTGAGACTACTTCAGGTAGCGGGAGATCAGCTAGATAGCTTATCTAAAGATTGCAAACACCTACAAATCCAACGGGAGATCGAAGAGAAGAAGAACTGCAACTCTAGAAACAGAAAATCA